GACAAAGAAGGCAAAACAGCATTGATGTATGCCATAGCTTACCCGAATGAAAACACCGCACTTGCAATAATGGAGAACAGCAAAGATCTAGATTTAAATGCTGTCGATGATCAAGGCCAAACCGCATTGATAAAAGCTGCTATCAGGGGAATGACGACAATTGCCGATGCATTAATCAGACTTGGTACTGTTGTTAACATAAGGGATAAAGAAGGCAAAACAGCATTGATGCATGGTCTAGCTTGCGCAAATGAAAACACCGCACTTTCAATAATGGAGAACTGCAAAGATCTGAATTTAAATACTGTCGACAATCAAGGACAAACAGCATTGATGTATGCTATAGCCCGCGCAAATGAAAACACCGCTCTTTTAATGATTGAGAACAGCAAAGATCTGAATTTAAATGCTGTCGACAATCAAGGACAAACATCATTGATGAAAGCTGTCTTCAGAGGAATGACAACATTTGCTCTGGCACTAATCAAACGTGGTGCTGATGTCAACATGAAGGACAAAGAAGGCAGCACAGCATTGATGTATGCTATGATGTGTGGATGGGAAGATACTGCACTAGCATTAATTAAGCACAGCATAGATTTAGATTTAAATATCGCAGATAATAAAGGTCGAACGGCTTTGATGAAAGCAGTTATCAAAGGAATGACTGAAGTCGCACTTGCACTGATCAAGGGAGGTGCATCTATCAACAAAGTGGATGACGATGGCACAACAGCATTGATGTTTGCTGTTAGGCTGGGAGAGGAAGACATTGCACTAAGTGAAGCAATCATTGAGAACAGTAATGAATTAGATTTAAATATGGCCGATAATGAAGGTCGAACAGCATTGATGAAAGCAGTTATGAATGGAATGACTGAAGTTGCACTACATCTAATAAAGCATGGTGCTGAAGTCAGCAAGAAGGATAAAAAATACAAAACAGCATTAATATATGCTATTTCCTCTGGGCAGGAAAACACTGCATTAGCAATATTTGAGTACAGCAAAGAATTAGATCTTAATATTACAGATAATGAAGGTCAAACGGCATTGATGAAAGCAGCTCATCAAGGGATGACTGAGGTCGCACTCGCTTTAATTAAACATGGTGCTGATGCCAACAAGAAGGATAACGAAAACAAGACAGCATTGATGCATGCTGTTACCTGCATGCGAGAGAAAAACACTGCGCTATCAATAATTGAGCACAGCAAGGAATTGGATTTAGACATTAGCGACAAAAACGAAGAAACAGCATTGATGAAAGCAGTTTTTCGTGGAATGACTGAAGTTGCACTAGCTCTGATCAAACATGGTGCTGATGTAAACAGGGCGGATAGAGAAGGAAAAACAGCATTGATGTTCATCGGCCTATCAGACCACATAGTTTCTGGATTTGATAGTGGTAAATTAACACATGCATTGATTAAATCCGGTGCTGAAGTAGATCAGACTGATTTCAAGGAGAACACGGCTTTGATGTACAATGTGAGATATGAAGCTTCAGTCAAAGCCCTTATGCAATATTCCCAGGGAAAAGCCTTAGTAAATCAAAGAAACAGTGATGGTCGAACTGCATTGTATTATGCAATACTTTGCAACAAAAAGTCTGTTCAAATTCTTCTTGAAAATGGTGCGAAGCATCGTTTGACGGATCATTACAATGCTAGTGCCTTAACTTACTATATTCATTATCGTATTGACAAACTTGAATCTACGACCGATATACCCTTATTTCTAGATGATATGGATGATACATTTTCTCTTTTCGAAGAAGGTGAAGATGTGAGTAAGTCCATAATTAATGCTGCATTTTGTAAATGCCCACAGTTTTTCCTCAAATTCAGCTCTGCAAAAGAAGCCTGGGAAATCGTATCAGGTATACTACTAGTCGCTGCCGAGAAGCAAGAAAATGATAAAAAACAAGTCCTAAACGAACTAGGCATAATGGCAAGCCAAGAAATGGATATGACTAATTTCTTGAATTTTTTGACAAAATTGATTGGCATTGTTGATGATCCGAACATTGGAGATCAACAAGGCAACGGTGTATTGCATTATATAACATTGTTAGCACTCCGTGGATATTTGAGTCCGAAGGATGTCTCGATAATATGTGGATTGATGAAGGAAATTGGATTCATAACCAAAAGAGAGAACTATAAACATGAGACACTGCTTATATTTGCTTTGTCCAATGCAATTAAATTTGCTAAAGATAATACCTTGCACGTACAGCCGTTGATGGAGATATGCACTTTTCTTTTGAAAAGAGGATATCTGATATCTAAAGATGAGTCACAAAATGGCGAGTCAGTTTTCCACCTTATAATCCACCTTTTGACAATCGGTGTATCGCGCGAGAAATGTCAAGAAAGTTTGTTGTCCAATGTAGTTAGGTTGTTGGAGCTGTTTTCACAACACAGATCGGGAGTGTTAGAAGCAGTAAACAAGCACGACCATAACTTGAACACTCCGCTTCATTTGTGGGCATCAATATCTCCACATTCCAATGCAGGGGACTCTGATGAAACTGCTTCTACACCTACTAAACTTTGGCAGGAATTTTCAAGTAAGGTCTTTCGTCAACTTTGTAGCTGTGGGGCTGTACTTTATTTGGTAAATAAAGATAAAGAAACCCCTTTACATATGTGCAGAACCTGGACTAACGTCAAGATACTGGTAAACGCCGGAGCGAGTACAAAAGCTATTGATTCAAAAGGCCGATCTCCTTTACTTTCTGCTGCTCAGAATTTCCTTTTTCTGGAAAACCCTGGATTGTTTTATCCAGATATTTCACAAAGGGAGGTACCAACGTTTTGGAAAACAGCTTGTGGCATGGGATTTGATTTATGGACTTTTGACAATGATGGAAACTCTATCATGAGTAATGTTTTAAGAGGGAAATCTTTTGAACTAGCAAATTTATTAATTGAAATTGTTTGTGAAAACAGTGAGACCCTATCAGATGAAACTTTGGTGGGCGTGATGAATGCTATCTGTAGAGATAACTCCATAGAAACAACGTGGAAAAGAATTCTGGTTGAAAGATTTCTCAATCATCTAAAATCCACCAGACGTTCATTAGATATGAGATTACCCTTTCGATCCTGCTGCATGAATATCATTTACCATGATGTCTCTATTACAAAGGGTAGCGAAGAAGTTCATTATAAAATTGCTAAACAACTGCTAAGGTATGGTGTTCCTGGTGAATCTTGCCTGGATATAGCTGAGGTATGTCCTACTCTTCAAGATCTCTTATCTACTCCTATAGCAACAGAAGAAAGACCTCTGGTTATACCCTGGACATCCCACTCTGAGAAACACAAAGCACAGCTGTCTGAGGTTGCAAGGGGACTTAACTGCATTGAGCACGGACCATATTGGTATCACGAGAGGTATATCGGAAGGGGAGCATTCGGGAAAGTCTTTGTAGGAATCCATAAAATTGACAGCATGGAAGTGGCTATAAAGAGAGTCGAATATGATCTTCAGGACGGACAAGAGGACATTAGAGAGATTAGAAACTTTGCTTTCATTCATAATTTCAATCATATTGTTCGTTATTTGACTTTTAGTCAAAAAGGTGACTTTACATTTATAGTTATGGAACTGATGGAAGGAAATCTTGACGAATACTGTGCGAGTGCGCTTTACGACCGAAGGAAGACCAAAATGCTCTGCCAACAGGTGGCATTAGGATTAGAGCACCTTCATGAGCAAAAACTGATTCATAGAGACCTAAAACCATCCAACATTCTTTTCAGAACAAATCCTGAACTCTGCGTCAAGATTGCCGACTTTGGTTTAAGTCGACATTCGGATGTCAATGCTTCATTTACTGTTATGATTACAGGGGCTGGAACTCGAGGATGGATTGCACCGGAAGTTAGCAAATCAGCCAATCACGAGTTTTCTTCTGATGTTTTTTCACTTGGCCTTATTTTTCATTACATCATGTCGGATCGAAGGCATCCATTTGACCCTGCAGACTGTACTGAAAAAAGTGAGAAAGATATCTTTGATGGCAGGCAAGCTAACATTTCGAATGCTAATGCGGAGGGATGGAACTACACCCTCAATCCTGAAGCGTCAAATCTTCTTTCAGGAATGCTTCGAATTGAAATGAAAGAAAGACCTACCGCATCAATGTTGCTCGATCATCCCTTCTTTTGGACAAAGGAGAAGAAGCTTGATTTCCTCTATGCTGTTGGCAATCAAGACGAATTCGAGTGCCCACGTGCTAAAAGGACTGTTCCATTGACAATGGTTGAGCAAGACCTAGAGAAGGAGTTTGCAATAATAGTGAAGTTTGGCAAGTGGAATGATTCAGGCTACACGCAGACATCGGTGATTTTGAATGAAATGAAGAAGCCAATAAAGAGATCTGGAAGGCTTCAGCCGGTTCGTACAAACTACGATTTTGGTTCTGCGGTTGAACTTGTTCGGTTCATTCGGAATGCCAAGGCTCATGTTTCTGAACCAAGTCGACCAAGCATTATAAGGAAGCAGGTCCTTGAGGCGGTTTTTCTGAATGAATTTCCAGACCTCGTTCTACAAGTGCTCAAAGCTGTTATCAACCATGGATGGGACATTGATAGAGAAGAAATCAAGTATGCTTTGGGAAGTGACATTACCCGTATGTGGTAAGTGTTGTCCTTGCATTTTATAAATTACATTTCATTAATTTTGTATCTGTCTACTCTTTCAAAAGTGTTGTCTTTCTATTCTTGTTTTTTGCTTTCCCAATAATTGCGGCCCCAAAAAGTTGCGAGAGGAATAAATATGTTTTGTCTTTACTTCGTCTTTCCCTCTTGTGCATTGATCATCAGCATAATTTTCATTTTTACTTATATGATATTATAGGATAACCAAAATACAAGATGTACCATTGGTCATTCCTTGGATTCCAGTCTCCAAGCGATATGAAAACATGCTCGCTAAAGTTGCAAGACGACAGAACTGCAAAGTCCAGGGTCAATACTGGTATCGGAGTGAACCCATTGGCTTTGGTGCGTATGGTCTCGTCTTTGTGGGCATCCATAAAAAAGACGGAATGGAAGTGGCTATAAAAGCGTTCAATTATTCCCATATAGACAGAGCAGAAGATTTAAGGGTGATTATTAGAAAATTTACTTCTCTTCGTAGATGCGAATACATAATTCGCTATATGTCCTTTCTTGAATCGACTGACTTTTTGTTGATTATTATGGAACTAATGGAAGGAAATCTTCATGAACTTTTTACAAGTGTGTTTTACGACCAAACGAAGACTACAATCCTCTGTCAGCATGTAGCACTAGGATTAAACTATCTTCATGAGAACCGCATTATTCATCGTAACCTCAGTCCGAACAAAATTCTTTACAAAACCTACCCCGAACTTTGCCTGAAGATTGCTGGGTTTGGTTTGAGTCATCGTCCAGATATCAATGCTTCATTTACTGTTATGGACAAGGGACATGGAACTACTGGTTGGATTGCACCAGAAGTTATGAAATCAGCCAAACACGAATATTCTATGTCATCGGATGTCTTTTCACTAGGTCTTATTTTTCACTATATCTTGTCAAATAAAAAGCACCCATTCAGCCCAGCAGACTGTACTGGAAAAAGTGACTATGAAATCAATATTGCAACACAAGGCAACATTTTAAAGAATGATATGGAAGGATGGAACAAGTCCCTTGATCCGGAATCGTCTCACCGCATCAAAGGAATGCTTAATTGTACTAACGAGAAAGAAAGACCAATCGCATCAAAGTTGTTACACCATCCAATGTTCTGGTCAAAGAAGAAGAAGCTTGATTTCCTCAGCGCTGTTGGTAACCAAGAGGAAGTCAAATGTCCACGTGCTAAAAGGACTGTTCCATTGACAATGGTCGAGCAAGATCTAGAGGACGAGTTTGCAACAATAGCGAAGTTTGGCAAATGGGATGATCCACGCTACACGCAGACATCGGTGATTTTGAATGAAAGTAAGGTTCGTACAAACTATGATTTCAGATCTTCTGTTGACCTAGTGCGATTCATTCGCAATGCCATGGCTCACGTTTCCGTATCAAGTCGATCAACGGTAATCAGGACACAAATCCTCAAAGATGCTGTATTTCTGGATGAATTTCCAAATCTCGCGATAGAGGTGTTCAAAGCTGTGACCGCACACGGATGGGACGTTTCTAGAGAGGAAATAAAACATGTTTTGGAAAATGACTGACAGGAACACTCTTCACTTACAATGGTGAGCATGCGGTACTTGAGCGTAACCCACAAAATAACCGATACCAGATAGAAAGAAAAAGGACTCCTTTCCTTCAACATACTGAATGCCACTAAAATGCTCCATTTTGATTCAAATACTAGTGTCTTTAAATTTTGAACAGTAACCCGTACTTACTGGATACTGCTTGATAATTCGCCAACTCGTTTTACATCTTCTTCTGGAGTATCCAGTAAACGTGAGTGACATTGTCAGTTGTAAAGTAACATAAATATTTGTCTGCCCTTTCGTGTTTCAGAGTAAATTACCGTGTCTGGAATTCAGCAGCTGAAAAGACTACCAAAGCGATTCTTGTTCCTCTGGCGATGGTGGATTTTGTCCTCGCTTACGGACAGAGTGTATAGTTATCGATTTTATTATAGACTGATTGACTTGAAATTTATACATCTTAACTTATAGGAAATAACCTTGTAGCTTTGCAGTTTTACATGGCAGTTTATCCTGGTAGTACAGAGATGAAAAGACATAAGAAAAGCAACAAAGTGGCGGCTTTTCTTCGTGTACCGGAATAAATCGGCATTCTGGTTAGGTTTAATTATATTTTGGGGTATCGTTTAGATTCTGCTCCGTTTTTGTAACCCTTTGTTTCTATTGATTTACGTAATCTGTGCTCCGGTACACGAAGTAAAAGCCCAAAGTCGACATCTGATATTTCATGTTTTTAATGTTTTGCAAGAATATTCATTATTAACCAACAAAATATCACTACACAATGCAGATAACATTTGATATTCTAGGTATCTGGAGTATTAAATTGAACTAATTATTTCACGCGAATTTCAAATATTAACCTTATATTAACCTTACAAATATCATTACGGTGCAGACAATAATATTCTAGATATCTGGAGTATTCCGGCGTATTTCGAAAACAGTAAAATGTTGTTATCTTGAAGTCTTTTCAACTGGTCAGCGTATATGACATGGGATCAGTGACTGCACTTTTATAGGAAGAGATAGTAATACCTTGATTTACAGTTGGAACTAAATATTACTCAAAGTTGTAGATAAGGCGTACTTTTTACATGGATGTCATTGTAGTCTATCCATATTGGAACTTACAAGGTAACGTGAAAAGTGTAAACAGCTCTTAATGTTAGCCTCTCCGTAAGCAGACTTTCTTTGCGGGGGAGAGAATTCACCCTCTAAGAACGTCTGCTTACGTAGGCTATCTTGATCTTAGAATGTTTTTAAATTCTATGTTCGACTATATATGGAAACCAGGCTTTAGCCTACGTATTAATGACTGTCGTATACTGCGAAATATGATAATCGTGCTTATTTGATAATTTCTGATTGGCTTCGACTCCACGGGTTCGATGCCTTCACTTTAAAGGGACACTGTCAATGGATGACATGCGCAGTAACAGTCTCACCTCTAACGGACTTTGAAAGTATTATCTTCGAGGTAAATCATTTTGTGGTGCTTTTGACACACTTTGGAATATTCTAGATCTGTTTACGTTTACGAGCTGATTTATGTCGCGCCAACTTGGAGTCATAAACTTGAAAACACTAGCCTAGTGTTTTCAAGTTTACTCGCGCATGCGTGCCATTGACAGTGTCCCTTTAAATTTGCATTTTAGAGGCGATTTCGTATGAGTGGGAAACCGATGCTGACGTGATACGACTACGGTAAGTACGGCTACGATACGGATTCCTTTGATCCTTTCATAAGTTAATCTCAAGAAATAATGATAATCACAACGAAAAAAGGCTAATTTTCCCAACAAAACATTTAAATGGTATTGTCAAGCAAGCAGTACAAAAAATTTCAAGTTATGCTTGAAAATTACCGACTGAACATGTCACGCGCGAGTGCTTGAATACCCGAAAGTTTAACAAACTAAAAACTTTCACACAATGAATTGCAGATATTCTCACTGCTTAAAAGTGCTCAAATATTAAGTACAAACAAAAGCTAATTCAACTAGTTTATTTATTAAAAAGATCATTTTATCAAGTTGACATCAAGATACCAAGACTACATTTTCTCAACAGATCGACACTAGTGAGGTCTCGAAATGCCGAAAAATAGAGGAATATTGATAATCATCTTCAAATCTCAACATCTGCCAGTCATTTTATAAATTTCTACTTACAAAAAACTGATTCCCATTGACATTCATCCTTAAAAGGCATTTCTGGTCGAATTTTCTGTCGAAAACGTTGCAAAACAGGTGTTGACAACTAGGTGTTGTGTGACAAGATGACGTAGACCAGTTGTCAGTAGAAAATCTCTCAGCCAATCAGGAATCACGGTTACGATACGGCTAAAGCACGGTACGACGCGAATTGAACGCCGTATTTACCCACTGAACGATCGAACTTACGATACAGCTTACGGTACCATAACGCGCGATACGACAAATTTCGTATTCATCCAATCAACAATCGAAATTACGGTTCGACATTACGGTACATACAAATCAATCCAATCAGGTGTGGGCAGAAAAAAATKCCAGCAAATCAGAATCCATGAATACGATACAGTTACGGTACGGTTACGGTACGGACGCGATTCGTTATCACCGTTTCCCAGTCATACGAAATCTATGCATTATATAAACGTTTTTATACAAAAACAAACTTATAGAGGAAAAGTCGCTTGTGCATGAAATGATAATGACGTCAACAACGCATATGATGCCAAACAAACATTTTACGTAATGATGACGTCACACATGCATTACCATGCCAGCCTGATCATTCAGTCGTCGGCCATAGTAGCATATTATGGTTCATCCAGAGGGGAGGCTGCTTTGTGGTCATTTTGTGATCCATTTTGATACAAACAATGCGTGACGTAGAACAGTTCTCGGAGTATACGTCAGAGATCAATCTCGCACCCAGTGCCCTTGTCCCTCTTACTGCGCATGCTCGACGAAAAACAAGAGCTCTGGAAATATCAAACAHCGGAMGYCAGAAACTGGCTATTTCACCCATGCGCAGTAGAAACCCGATCTAACGGCTTTATTTTACTGATTTTGCTCAAGAAAATCGGCTAAATGAAAACCTTCGAAGTCAGAAAAGGGATTTTTTTAGACCTTAGGTGATAAATCTATCTTCTTCGAAGCTATTTTGATATCTATTATGATCAGATAGTAGCAGACAGTGACGGTTAGTGATTATCATGGCGTGACAGTTCGTCGCCTCGTTGTATTCCATTTTATACTTAATTGATCATATTACTCTCAAATTCCTACTTCATAGACTTAATAAATGCTTTTAAAGGAAGAATTCAAGGTAAGAGGGACAGTGGCGCTGGGTACGAGATTGGTCAGAGATCCTTTTGATCTCATAGCGCACGCGCACTAGGTCTTGGCCATTCACGTTGTTGAATTTATTATCGACTCCACTGCGGACTGCCATAGCCGTATGTACCCAGGGCTCCAGAAAACGATGTATTTCTTGGCCACGAGGAACTGCTTGTCCACCCACATGTTGAATCCAATCTCGTTCATGTGAACAGAATCAACGACCTGAGAAAATGGGAATATAGCACCGTTTTAATCATCATCATAATTATTATCATCATCATTATCATTTTGTTACCTCATATCCCATGGTTCCAAGAATTGTAGGCAATGGTCGCCACTTCGTCCGAGAACTTTTCGTTTTCAGGAAAATGACGCAAAGTAAATGTCGTTATTTTTTGGTTTCATGGCTGAAAGAACAGCAAAAAGGCATTTAGCTACCATGCGACGAACTGTTGGGGTGAGGGAAGGGATGTAGTTTACTGTGGAGGGAGGTGGTTGACTGTATGTGGGTTAGGTACTTACCATTGTTTTTTGATGAGTTCTGTGTAAAGAAAGAAATAATAGTTAAAACAAATAGATATTTGAACATATTAGAAAAATGAATGAATGAATGAATGGATGGATGGATGGATGGATGGATGGAAGAGCAGATAAAGATATATGGCTGACTGGGTGGATGGGTGAAAGGAAGAGCAGATAAGGATATGGATGATTGGGATATGGATGATTCATTATTGGGATCCCTGCCCTTTGGTTATCGTCATCGTCATCGTCATCATTATCGTTATTATTTTTATTATTGGGACCCCTGTTCCTTGGTAATCGTCATCCCTACCATTGGGATCCCTGTCCTTTGGCTATCGTCATCACTATTGCTTTGATTTTATCATTGGGATCCCTGTCCTTTGGTTATTGTCATCACTATTGTTTTGATTTTATCATTGGGATCCCTGTCCTTTGGTTATCGTCATCACTATTGTTTTGATTTTATCATTGGGATCCCTGTCTTTTGATTATCGTCATCACTATTGTTTTGATTTTATCATTGGGATCCCTGTCCTTCGGTTATCGTCATCACTATGGTTATTGTTTTTATTATTGGGATCTCAGTCTGTCCTTTGGTTATATACTTCATTACCTGATGATCCACATGTTTTGCGTCGGTACAGAATTAAAATCAAGAAGGCAATCACCAGTATTCCCCGCAAAACTCCAGGAAGATATGAAGCCCAGTTGTCTGTTAAAACACGACAATATCATTATCATTAAGACATTAGAAATACATACGCAGAGTTAAGCTTACCAATCGGTATGGAGCACGTGGTTTAACGAAGGGAATAAGATCTCCTGGAGCTGAAAACTAACGCTTTAAAGATCAGTGCATTGTGTTCGACGACAAATAACTTTCTTGTTTTTGAAAACTTTCGTTTTTTCTCAATCAATCAAAAAATTCGTTACGATTTGTTCAGACAAACCGAGTGAAACTTCCATACAAGCTACCATGTAATTTACATACCGTATGCAAAACATACAACACCGGAAATAAAAATAGCGGAATTCAAACCCTAGCACATAGGTGTTTTTAGAAATAGCACTACGCATTACATTATGGTCTAGATTCGGTACAAACATCTTTTGTCCATGCGACCAAATATGATTTTGTTTTTATTGAAGAAAGACCACAATGTACCATGATTTTGTATTTCAGAAAAGTTATGGGAAATATAAACGGAGATTACTTACGTCCTTGGTATGAAAAAACGTCAGAACGTGTATTTTCTAATCTTCATATCAAGATATCCAGGCAAAGAAAACATCTATAACAATAGACCTCTGCAGCTTTTACGTCATGTACCGTATACGCAATGCATTGTAGGACATGTTTGGGACAAAACATGGTGGATTTCTTTTGTTTTCTCTTGAAACTGATCCCACAATGCATTGAAAATCAAGTAGTGACGTAAAAGGTTCAGAAGTCTATTATGATAATATTATTAATAATTATATTATTTTAATTAATTATATTAGTGTTAACATGTGTGCATCATGAGTGGTTTCCTTTGTGACTTTGCATGAAACGGTCACATGGAACTAAATCCGTGCCATCATTCTGGAGGAAAAAATTCCCACTGGGATGTTCAAAACTAAGAAAAGTATGCCGCCAAACTTGACGGGCTAATGTTTTTGGCCATGTGACCGTTTCAGGACTATTACTACACTCTGCCTAACTGTATCGTTTGATGAATATGCCGTTAACATGATCAGTTCATCTTCATCATCATAAGTTACTGCCAACGTAACTATCTCCTTCACCCAGCACGTCTAGTATTGTATAATTCTTATTCTAAAGCACAGCAAAACATAACACACGTTAGATCATAAGAACAGAAAGAAAAATGTAAGCTTTAGTACGACAAACATTCGTTGTACAACCACGGCATACTAGTAAATACTCGCCCTGGGGATGGTACTCCCGCCGTATATTTGCTATACAGGTATGATAGGTTCCCTTTTTCGGAGCTCCAAGTCTGCATGGGATAAAAAAAATCCTGGATCCATCCCTGATGTGTTGACATTGATTCTGAAGTCCCATCTAAAAACACCAAACATCGCTAAGTCCGATTTAGGCGACAACTTTTGCCCACAACCATCGCATGCAACATATCTAAGACATCCTTACAACATGACTAAAACTGTCGTAGGGCATAGTTAATACAAACTATGCTTAGGGTTATCAAAAAATTGTTTTTAATATCTACAACAGTTGTAGCCATGTTGTAAGGATGACTTTAGGCATGTTGCATGCGATAGTTGCAGACAAACAGATTTACCGTCTAAATCGGCCAATAAGATCTTTAATCGACCCAATATTCATAGTGCTAGGCCATCCCATAATATCTTTTGGTCTTGGAATTCACAAAGATTGTGAAACGGATAAGATTCGACGTCAATTCACAGAACTATTATCTTTTTCGATATTATCCACCCGAAAGTCTATATTTTCTGTCTATATACTTGGTCAATTAGAGCAAACGCAGGAAAACCATGAAATATAATCAAACTAAATACTAACAAATAGCGCCTATTTAGAGRCAAATTGTCAGTATCAATGAACCAGAACGCAATAAAGATGAATCCACATGGGACCATTTTTCATTCATCTTTATTGCGCTCTGGTTCATTGATACTCACAATTTGTTTCTAAATAGCCACTATTTGTTAGTACTATAATCTCGGATAATCTCCGGCGAATACAACAAGAACAATTTCAAAAGGTTTTTGTGTTTTTTACTAGTTTGATCATTGCATGATCATTACATAGTTCAATAAAAATCAAGCAAAGACGTAAAAATGTTACTGAGTTTTCTGTTTCTTGTCTCGTCGACAGCACATCCAGCATATTAATCGAACTGTGTACTTTATCACCATAATCACCACCAAAACTACCAAGACCAGGAACACTGCTACATCTACCAGAAAATACTGGTACCAGGCAAGTTGACTAGAGTACGGACGTAGATGTGCAAGACTCTCGTGTCTAAGGGCGTACTCTATCCAGTTACCAGCCTCCTGGACCGCGCTACGTGGATGATCTTTGATCAGGCGTGAAATGCCTTCAGCTTTCTCTCGAAAACTGGAATCAAGAAAAATAATTTCAGCACAATCAAACTGTATACTGNTACTTGACCAAGAGTTTCTGGTCAAGTAGCTGTAGTTTGTAATTTCCTGATATAGTTAAGAAATTGTACCTTTCAGCCTCCAGATAACTTTCTGTTTCAATCTACCAAAAGCCTCAGCCATGATGTCAACTTTGTCGTTATCAAACAATGAAGCCACGTTGGATCCAAATGATAYGATGATGGCTCCTTCATCACCAGAACTGTCAATCAACTGCTGTAGATCAGGGGGGAGGGGCTGGACGTGCTGGATAGTAACAGGCCCAATGCATTTGTAATCTAGAAATAATAATACAAAAAAAAAAGGAATCTGTATTTCATACGGTGTTGCAAGGATGAACACAGAGTTATCCCGTTGCATAGGCTTTGAATATATCTCATTTGATGATGTATAGGAGATTGTATATTCCATAAGGTTGGTTTATGTCTTCCACATTATTGTACATCTTGCTGTAAATTCATAAGATAAAGAYATCCATCGTTACATGTCTTTTWGGTTTCTTCTTTAACTTTCTCTGCCCTTCCTTTTGCCTAAGGTCTTGTTGATTTTCCTTCCTGTAATCTGTCCTATCAAACTGCAAGGGCGGATCCGGAATTTTGGAAGGGAGAGGTGGAAGGGGCACATTTATATATTTTGTATTGGTCTGTCTATTTGTCTGAATTATGCAGGTCATATATGAACATGTCTTTCTATATCTAATCAGGAATTTCCCAAAAGGTAGTCACGGYCCCCCTGGCACMCTAGATCCGCCCCTAAACTGTTCACAAAGCTTACCTGGCCTCAATGGCTGAGGATATTCAAATGCAAAGTCTGACATGAACAGAGTCAATTCTTTATCGTTTACGATGTCAGAAAAACTTTTCTCTGGTTTGATTGCATATTCCACTTTAAGGCGCGTGTACATTGGTTGGAATAAAACCGTGAACATTCCTTGCATCCCCCAAAACACCGCAACATTTTTCAGCCGTTGCAAAAAGGTCATTTTCTCTGGATTCCGCGAGAGCATTTGTGGTAGATAAGATAACGTGAGAAAAGYYTCATCTTGTGAAAAGCTGCGTGGAAACCGAGGAGGATACGGGTAGTAATCAATTCGCTTGATTCCGAGATGTGCTGCTAGTAGGCCTCCACAATAAAAGGCAGCGTCAMTTATCAGCAAATCGAAGTCTTTGAATGAATTTACTAACTTGCTGTCATTCAGTAAAGATTTGCAGTATACTTCAAAAATAACGACTGGGCTACTGTTTCCAAAGAACCAATTCCTTATACTTCCTTYCACAGCATTTTGAACCATGTGTTTTTCCAGGAAATCCTCTTCATATGGAACTTTGTAAGTCGCGTAGGTCAGCTCAATGGTTTTCTTCACCTTGTCAGGGGACCCCACGAGAATAGTTACCTTATCAAACAAACAATAAACTGTGATATCATCATATAAGCTACCGTGGTTCCAGAAGGTTATTTTTAATTTTTGTGCTTACTACGTCATCGAGCCGCGGCGAGACGTTTCCGTTAATCGGTTTGTTTTTACGCAAAGCCTCTGGTACACTGGAAAAAATCGCACGCTTAAAAGGTTGTAAATTTGATGCATATATGATATAAGTGTCCAAAATGATGTAAGTTTGATGTAAATCATTTCCATCAAATTTACATTATTTTGGACACTTACATCATATTTCCATCAAATTTACAACCTTTATGGCGCGCGATTTTTTCCAGTGGTATCAAGCGTAGGCAATCTCACTTTCATGCTGTATTTTAGCTTTCAAACATGTCAAATAAACGAACCAATAAGAGCTCATCACACATAACAGATCATATTACTCATAGTAAAATACAGCATGAAAGGGAGATTAAAAACCAGGCTTGTTTTCGATAAGACAAAAGAATAGACTTAAGCCGAGAACAAGGAATGAAGTCAAGCATTCGGCATAAGACATCAACATAAGCATTATAGCAGCTAGCATAATACCCTATAATTTATTTAATTCTTTCTAATCCGAACAACTATTGTTTTCACCCCTTGTGCTTATAACGTAGTGACTCGTAATGAAACCCAGGCTGAATGCAACTGACCTATTGCATGCTTGAATAGCTTTTTTAAAATGTATATTTTGCTGCAGTCTGGTGACCTTGACGAGATTTAACTTAATGTAAGTCATGTAACTCTATATAGTTCTAGTCGACTGTGGCTTTGGTTTGNCAAGAGGCGAAGTTCCATGACAGTGCCGTGCCGTTACACAGTCATGCAAAATCCACCCTATTGGGCAAATCTTTTAAAAAAACAAGAAACAACTCGTGAATCTTTGTCGGATATTTGAGTGACATCGAATCCAGTAGCTTCATAGGTGTATTTCACAGACATCTATTTCCTAAACTTTATCAAATACATGGGAAATACATGTTTACTGGGCCTTTTTGAATAATAATAAATTACACAGGTCACATAACTCGTGATTTGATCACGGTTACCTTATGATTTCGTTTCACGAGTTCCTGTCCAATTCGTGTCATTCCCATGCAATATGTGACTTTTTCCTAACCCTGGGTAAAGTACAATCTTTGCTGACTTAATTTGGGCAGCGTAGATTGCTATGAAAGCACTAATAAGAACTTGAATTGTTACAGCCATTTCGAAAACTGTGTAACGGAAGTCATGCAATGCAAGGAGACACAGGAATCCCAACAGGTGTCTTTAGTTTATTTTGACTAATTGTAATTGTATACACTTTTTGTTTGATTTTTATATCACAAATTGCGTACAGAATTGTTTGCTAAGGCATATGGATTCTTTGAAATCTTAGCAATTTAACTAAAAAATGCGTTACCAAATTCGGCATTTGATTATAAATGAAAATTTGGAATGTGCTCTATAGCCATGTAGGATGTCGTCGAGTGTTACAAAAGGAAAAATGTTATGTCGGTTGAAATGGTCAAATCATCAATAACAGTGATATTCAAGAACTGGAAATGTCATCTCCGATATAAAAAAAGAGTAATGTATTTTTTTATGATTTTGCATATTAAATCATTCCTTAGTAGATGTCACTTAATTTGCATTTCCGATTTTCAAATATTTCTTAATCAGAAGATATAAATTTGAATGTTTTTTCCCTTTGCAGAAGTGCTTAACAGCATGTGTTCTTTCGAATGAAATGACTTTCTAGAAGGGTTCAGTTGCACTTTAAACAAATAAATCTTCTAAAATGAAAAATAACAATTGAATTAGCTTGTTTCCTAATTAATTCGCTAATTTTAGTGGGAAATTTCTATTTGATACGTTCTCCAAACTAATCCGTCAAGTAAAATCCACGCCAAAAGTTCGCGCAATTTTAGGGCCCCTCCCCGATAAAAAGATCCTGGATCCGCCCCTGATGCTTGGACATTGATTCTGAAGTCACATCAAATACCATCAAACATCGCTAAGTCCGATTTAGGCGACACAACTTTTGCGTAAAAATGTTATTGAGTTTTCTGTTTCTTGTCTCGTCGACAGCACATCCAGCACATCAACCGAANTCCAGCATGCATGAGTAATGATTATAAAAAGCTGAGGTCATTGAATTCCACTGTAGCCGTAATTTACTTTTTTATTTAAGAGCGGATTTCTTAGTGAATGTGCAAAAATACACTGCAACTTCTCGTCGACGCCGTACGGTGCAGTGAAGGTGATGTATTGTTGAATCTTTATTTTTATTTGGAATCACCAAGAGGCGAAGTTCCATGACAGTGCCGTGCCGTTACACAGTCATGCAAAATCCACTCTATTGGGCAATTCTTTTAAAAAAACAAGAAACAACTCGTGAATCTTTGTCGGATATTTGAGTGACATCGAATCCAGTAGCTTCATAGGGGTATTTCACAGACATCTATTTCCTAAACTTTATCAAATACACGGGAAATACATGTTAACTGGGCCTTTTTGAATAATAATAAATTACACAGGTCACATAACTCGTGATTTGATCAGGGTTACCTTGTGATTTCGTTTCACGAGTTCCTGTCCAATTCGAGTCATTCCTAATATGTGACTTTTTCCTAACCCTGGGTAAAGTACAATCTTTGCTGACTGCACTTGGGCAGTGTAGATTGCTATGAAAGCACTGATAAGCACTTGAATTGTTACAACCATTTCGAAAACTGTGTAACGGAGGTCATGCAAAGCAAGGAGACACAGGAATCCCAACAGGTGTCTTTAGTTTATTTTGACTAATTGTATACACTTTTTGTTTGATTTGATTATAAACTAGACGCTAACGTAGCGTGAAGTCGGGCTAGCAAGGGTGATATCATAATATTGTACATCGTGATGAAATGATAATTTTTTACACCGCAAAAAATTGAGACTTCACGCTGTAAAAGCGTGTAGCTCATTCAAAATATGCAAATTTCGTGTGATTTAAAAAGGTCATATAAACAACMCTTTATGTTTTAACAATTTTTGATGCAATGTTTAAAGGAAAGAACCCTATTAACCAGCTTATACTATTTAGGGGAATCTCCAAAGGCAACTCTTTCAAAAAAATTCAAAATAAATGCTTTAAATGCTCTTAAAACTCATATCCTATCATTACTAATGCAACTAAAGACGACATGGCGCAATGCATTTGATTATCAGATATCTTGGTGTAAAGTTTCAGGTTTTTAATTAAAAAATGACCTCTGAGGTCAAGAAGCATATAGTTTACAAAACAAGAAATACTTCGTACAATTTTGCGAACACTCGACGTAGGCACAGCCTTTCCCTCGTACTTCGATTGACCATGTGATAGAAACAGATAAGCATCTATAAATGTGACTTTTGTGTCACATGATATATTTATGACGTAATTGATTGTAATTGGGGTGCCTGTCTTATAGCTCATAAAGCATCATGGGGGACTATACGCGACGTTGCCAGATAGATCCGAAAGGTAAAACTATAGTCGTACTAGCCTACGGCTAGCCCGACTAATGAACATTTGGAATGTGCTCTATAGCCATGTAGGATGTCGTCGAGTGTTACGAAAGGAAAAATGTTATGTCGGTTGAAATGGTCAAATCATCAATAACAGTGATATTCAAGAACTGGAAATGTCATCTCCAATATAAAAAAAAGAGTAATGTATTTTTTTATGATTTTGCATATTAAATCATTCCTTAGTAGATGTCACTTAATTTGCATTTCCGATTTTCAAATATTTCTAAATCAGAAGATAATCGTATGAGGAAGTAGCTGATCCCATTAAAGAGTGCTCAATACACATAAAGTGTAGAGCTAGTTATATATATGATATCAGAAGATATAAATTTGAAAGTTTTTTCCCTTTGTAGAAGTGCTTAACAGCATGTTCTGTTTCGAATGAAATGACTTTTTGGAAGGTTCAGTTGCACTTTAAACAAATAAATAACAATTGAATTAGCTTGTTTCCTAATTAATTCGCTAATTTTAGTGGGAAAGCTCTATTTGATACGTTCTCCGAAAAAATCCATCATGCAAAATCCACGCCAAAAGTTCGCGCAATTTTAGGGCCCCTCCCCGCTAAAAAAAATCCTGGATCCGCCCCTGATGCTTGGACATTGATTCTGAAGTCACATCAAATACCATCAAACATCGCTAAGTTCGATTTAGGCGACACAACTTTTGCGTAAAAATGTTATTGAGTTTTCTGTTTCTTGTCTCGTCGACAGCACATCCAGCACATCAACCGAAGTGTGTACTTTATCACCATAATCACAACCAAAACTACCAAGACCAGGAACACTGCTACATCTACCAGGAAATACTGGTACCAGGGAAGTTGACTAGAGTACGGACGAAGATGTGCAAGACTCTCGTGTCTGAGGGCGTACTCTATCCAGTCACCAGCCTCCTGGACCGGGCTACGTGGACGGTCTTGCATCAAGCGTGAAATGCGTTCCGCTTTCTCGCGAAAACTGGAATCAAGAAAAGTAATCTCAGCACAATCAAACTGTATATGTATGACAAAAGATGGTCCTCTCCACACTACAGGAGACACCGACAATCACATCCATTAAAGAATCATAACCAACCGCCGTATATCTTGCGCTCTCGTATTATTACATACGTTTAAATGCGTCAAGCATACAATAGATTATAGCTGAAAGTACCTGTGAGGTACTTAGTTGAAGGTATATCTGTCCAAACTGAAAGGATGGAAGACGATTCGCGCTCACTTTAAGAAATCCTACGAATCCTCCATTTTCGTGTTCACCTAAAATGGCGCTTGAGCTCGCAAGGCACGGCGGTTGGCTATGATTCTTTAATAATGAATTATAACTAACGTTGCTAAAATCAATTTTGGCACCTTGGTTCATGGATAACACGTTGCAGTTTGTTGTACAGATCGTCAACCGTTAAATTGTTGTAATCAACATACAAAGCGACTCCTTTCTGCACCATCTCAATTGCGTCGTCAAACTGGTCTCCGTATAAGGGCATAGCCACCACAGGTACCCCGTAATACAATGTCTCGTACATGCCATTCATACCAACGTGAGAAACAAAGGCGCGCAGTTTCTTATTGGCTAATAGATCGTGCTGTGGTATCCAATCACGAACAACTATATTATCACGAAGGGACGATGGTATATATCCTGCGATTAAATAAGAAAATGA